TACAGGGAAGCTGAAGACGCTGATGGATGCCTGCCACCTGGGACCTAGGACCTAGCCAGTTGCGGGCAGGCTGTGCTCTGGTGAAAGCTCTCCGCTGAGCTTGCTTTGAAGATGCACAGCTTGCTTTGCTTGGAGGGCAATGGGTCTGTTTGCAAGTTTGCAAGCCCCAAAGTCGTCCACGTCGGAGGGTAAGCCTTGACAGGGCATCGCTGCAGCAGACCCTTAAGCTCTGTTTGGCTGCACCTTTCTGGGCGGCTTCAGAGCGTTCCAGACGAAGTGAGGGCATGTGAGACCCCTGTCTTCCAGCAGGACCACCTGTCTTGCCAGCACCTGTTCAAATCAACTCAGGCTTTGAAGTATTTACAGGTTGAGGCTAGCTAGCATCAGCAGGAAGGCGGAGTGCTCAACAAAGAAGAATTCCCGGGGGTAAAATGCCACACTTCGGCAGCAGCTTCTTTTCTCGATTGCTCATGCTGTCAGCCCTGGCACAAGCAAGGCATTTTTTTCGAAGGTAGTCACAAGTCAGCCAGTGAGGAACATGACGACATTCGAGTCTGATAGAGGAGCTGTGCTGGGCCAGACAGTTGGGAAAAGCACCAACGGGCCCGGGCCCGTGTAAGAATTGTATACTTCAGCTGCACTTACTAGACTTTCAGCGTGTTCACGGGGTAGGGTTCAAAGTTTGGGTTTAGGGCTTAGAGTGCTTCCGGACTTGGGGTTCGGGAATCAAAGATTCCAGGGTTGGCAGGCTCGTGTCGGGGCTTGCCTGTGCCCTACATACACGCCAGCTGTTCGCAACCTGGTTCTTGCATGTTCTCCGCCACACCCGCTGTGCCTGACTTGGCACTGCTGGCTCCAGGTCCGGAGCCTTGATGCAGCAGTTTCTTTGTGATTGTCCGTCCTCCTTCCTGGCTATTCCCGGAGCCTTCTGAGCTTGGAACTTTCCTTTCCGACCCACGGCTCAAACCTCGAAATTTCGCTCGTCCCTTGCCGAGTGCCCGCAACCAAGTTGCCTACAAGCCGACGGCTAGTGCGCTCATGACAACATGCCATGACTGCCTTACGCATTGCAGTGCGAAGCTGTAGCCATGATGGATGGTTATCGAACTTATTCCCGACTTCTCCTCCCAAAGTTCCTCAGCAGTTGGAAAACGTGATTTTGGTGTGGTTACAGCAACACACGTTAAAGACGCTCTGCCGTGCGTCAGCAATTCATAAGCATTTGAGCTCCATGCGGGCGTCCGGCGCAGTTCATGTCAGGACGCGGAGTAGCCACTCGGGAAAGGCTGCATGTTGCAATCAGCAGACGCTTCTGAACCTGCTCTTGCAGCTCGCCGCAAGGTCGCGTGGGGGTTCGTAAGTGGTCATAGTAAGGGCCACGCGGCTACGCAGCTTCTCAAGGCCTTGCTCACTGTAGCTACCGACATTCGTGCAAAGACAAAAGCACAGTCAAATCAAGCATTTGGGTTCGATGAGCGGATCGTGCACAGGTTTGTTGTAATGAGGGCATGGCAGGTTGATTCATGGTGCAAGTGCCAGACATGCCTCAAGGCGCTGTGGAAGTTAACCACTAGACTGCTTAGGGGCTCAGAATGCAAGGCCCGAAAACATGTTCAAAGTGCCAGCATTCGCTCTGCTACTGCAAGCATGACTGCGCGCGACAATCCAGTAGTGTGTGGGACACAAAGGCCACAGAATGAAGATGCGTCTTCTTGTGCAAAAATGCCCAGCTTTGCTCCAACCCAGTCTTCGATTGGCTTTGCCTGGCACGAACTTTCATCGTAGTGTGCATCAGCTCCGGCATGCCTCAAAATCATAAAGCTCCCCTGCTATTGTCTCTTGCTGGCTACATTCGACGCAGCGCACGTATGCGAAAGAAAGTTCAGGCCCCTCACAGCAGTCGCCTACGTCAGGCGTTCTGCCCTGGCCTCGCGGATCTCTCGTTGCAGCCGTGTTTGCCATGGCTATCCATTATGTCGAAACGCAGAGGAGCAAACTGGGTGCCACGCGTCAAAGGATGCTTCATGCAGAGTGCCCGGTTTTGCAAACCCTCTCTCTAGCTGCCGGCTTCAAACTGCCCGAATCCGACTGTCCGACTGTCCCGAGGGCTTGCATGGCAGCTTTGAAACTGCAGCAGCTGTAGCATCAGAGTGCTAAGGCAAGGCTGCCAGGTGCAGCCCAGCCTTGCGCTACCGCCGTAGCAGGCACATGCACTGCGTATCGTGCATCTCATTTGCGCTAAGTTTGCATGGGTTGGATGCTACATGACGGCAGCCGCAAACTGCCCAGCATTGTCTTCTCAAAGCGTGAACCGACGCTAGGCCCTGCGAGGATGATCTGTAGCTCCTGCCCATACACTTTCCCGCATGATGGACAGCAATCAAAGACGCACATGCCCGCATTGGAAGTTTAGGATTCTAATTGCCGGCTGCCGGCGCACTGGGCATCCGGCACGCAGCAGCCATCGGCGTCTCGGCGTGACTCATTCCTAGCCGACAGTTCTTGATGCTTGGCGTGTTGGCAAGCGCCAGCAAATTGCACAGCTCTATATGCAGCAGGTTGCGCATGCTGAAAAGGCAGATCTGCAGCGCCGGGCGTTTGTTGCTCTCAGAGACTGGCGTTCGCTTTTTCATCCCGTCTAGATTGCCTCGAGCCGCGGCCCCATCGGCAGCCGACCACTTCTGCCTCTCAGCGGCCCTAGCGCAGCTCAGAGCACGTAGCTTGCTCATGGCTTCTGCAGAGGATGGTAGTGCATGCTATGTGGCAGCCTTGGCTACGCGAGCCTCAAGTAGCAGAAGAACAGTTGGCATGACATGTAGCATTTTTGGTCGATTGGAGTCCTCGGAAGCCAAGAAGCACTTCCGTGCGCCGCCTTTGCCTTTGCAGCGAGCGTTCGCTTGCAGCTGAAACCTTTTTCAGGCGCATCCTTGCTGTCGCAAGCCAAAGAGAGTCGTATCCGAGTTGGCTCTTGAGCCTTCAAACGGCTGCAGAAACCGCAGACGTGTGAAGTTTATCAACCATGTTGACACGCCAGTTGTCCGTGGGGCCGCGTGGCCCGTACGCGCACAGGTAGTGGCCCTTTTCACTAGCCCAGGGCTGTGCACAATTTGTGCAGGTTGCCGTGTGTGTTTCGTCCATTCAAGTTCCTGTCGAAGCTGGGGCCTAGTGATTATCCAGGTAGGCGAGAAAGGCTTGACAAACTTCGCTCCCAGGGACAGGCGAGCACTTCAAGATCTGGCGCAAAATTTCGCTTCCGCCGACTTCCGTCCAACTGATGTAGGCGATGGCAAAGATCTTGCAAGGTTACTGAAAGGTCCGAGCTTCAGAGGGCTAGACTTATTCCGACGGGCTGCAATACCTGACTTGCAGCGGTCACGGCAACGCAACGTCTGAACTTCGAGAGCTTTCATGTCACCACAAGGCCACGTCCAAGAAACGATCCTTCCGATGGCCGGGCACGATGGCGTTCTGACAGGCTGCTTTTTAAGCGTCATTTACAAAGTCGGCGTGGAAGCCTGGCCGAAAAGTCATGCCCTCTTGCTCCGAAAGCTCTGCACACGGTCATCTGCGGTTCACAGTTGCCATTTAGGTACCTAGCAGTATCAGTAGTAGGCGGTCGGCTCAGGCATTTGCACTCACATTTGGGTTCCTGTTTCTGCCAAGGCTCCCTTCAGCACCACTTGTAGCACGATATTCTGATTGAATTCGATGACTTTACACATGGCCCGACTTGCAACAAAAATACTAGCAATACCCTGCCTAGGAATCTGAGAAGCTTCAGTAGCTCAATCTGACAGAATTTCCGGAAAATCCTACACCATCCCTACCAACCCCTTCAAAAATCGCCTCAGCAAAGCTCCTTGGACTCCTGAGGACATTCCACCATCCTACGCGACAAAACCCCATAGTTAAGGAACTTGAATTCGGTTACCATGACAAGAACATACAATACATGACAGGGCTTCCATATTAGAGTCACTTAGCCTTGAACTCTTTCAGAGTAACCCTGTACCCCCACAGATAGCACACCCTGTGGCAAGGTGGGCATGGTGCCAGACTTGGCTCAACGGCTGGCCGCTGCCGCGCGGCGCGGCGAACAACGAGGTTGGAGCCATGACCTGTACCTGCCCAATAATGGAGAAGGGTTATTTAGAGTCTAGGGTTTAGCGAGTATGGAACAGGAAATGGAAACTGGGATTATACATTGTAGGGTTCCGCAAAATTAGGGGTACGTTTTTGGGGGGTCCCTAGAATCAGGAGCAGAGTAGTTTGGGCTCTATATTTGGGTCCCCCATCTTTGGACCTACGGTTATCAGGGCTATGCAGGCCAGTGAGGGTAGGTAATTAGTGCTAGAGGTTGTCTCCTGTAGTTGCTGTTGTATAAATTGCATGAGTGAGCCGGTGTTTCCTGATTTGCCGACCTAGGTCTGAAGTCCGCAGCCATTTGATGTTCTCTTTCGGATGTGGTTTGAGCACTGCTGTATGTTTGGTTCTGGGATAGCGGCTCCAGAGTACGGTTCCTCTGGGGTGATGCAGTTGTGAATACAGCTGGTCTGCGTTTTATGCTTTGACAGGTGCTATGGCTAGGACCGCGCTACGGTCACTTGTGACTTGGGCTGATATGTGGAGGAAAAGGCTTTTTGAAGGTGGATCCGGCTTTTGATTGGTTTGCCCTTCTGAAGTCTGCGCTGCTTCTAGCATCATTGGCATCAAGCAAGGTGACCCCATGCCTATAAGTTCATGGACCATGTCTTCCGGTGCTGACGCCACCATGCAAATTGAGTTCATTCCCTTTGTGTGGGAGTGCCTCTTTCAGCTTGTCTATGTTGGTAAGGTCTTCCTTTTCAGCATTCAAACTGCTCTCTCCAATGTGGAAAACTGCAGAATAGAAGCTGCAAAGGGCATTGCAGTCATTGTAATCGGCTACGAAGATGCAAAGGACAATTGCAATCAAACGTAGCGTCTGCAGTATTGGAGCAGTGCCAAGATTAATGCCTGAGGTATACAATCTGCGCCAGAATGCTGAGCTAGTCCGCAAGGCTGGACTTCGCATGAACTCAAAGGTTTTGTGCCAGACCCTTATGTCAGATGTTTGCAGATGTTGTTCGCTTTTAATTAACAACTTGATTGTTTACTCAAACACAATCAAGCTTGTCTTCGAGCCTTTGGTCCATGAGAGGTCTTTCGCATGCAGAAGTTTTATTCATATCTCAAACCATGGGCCCTGTCACCCAGTGGCCAGGTGAACGCAGGGGAAATTACCGTGGATGCCTTGCTGAGGATGTCGCATCAGGACTGCGACCTGGGACCACTTGGGCTGGAATGAGCCTAAAGGCAGTTGATGCCTTCGTACCTTCTGTTCTCAACTGTCGAGCGAAGGACCTGGCAGGGACCGCTGTCCTTGCGCGGCGCCATCGCATTCAGGCTGAAGCACTCCGCGATGTGGCCTCCCGGCTCCATGTGGGTTGAGGCTGTGCCGGCCGCATCGACTTGCTGATCCTCATGGCTTCGGCCTGCATGTGAGGAGGTAATCTTGCGGGGTGCTTCAATTGAGGATCAGGGTTCGACAGAATTGTAAAAGGGTCAAGCAAGTCAAGAACATAAGTAAGGCCCCAAAATGCTATATCAGGTTTTGCTTTTGATCCCCTTTTTGACTTGCTTTGAGCCCACCTTTCCATTGATGTGTCCCAGGATTTGAGAGCTGCTCTTGAAGTGTCAATGCTAGCTTGATGCCATGGGCCTAGTTTGTGGCTTCGTGGAGTGCATGATAAGTATTCCACAGCCCAGGTTGTGCAGGACCAAAGCACATTCGCTGTGCGCTGCGGCAGCTGTGGCTCTGAGGATGCACGAGGCATGCAGAGCATAGGGCGGTTTGCAGATCTCTTAGCAGCTGCCATGCACCACAGTCAGGAAGGATATGGAGTTTCTGCGAAGGGAACTTGACAAGGAGATTGGATCTAGAGAAGTTGGTTGCTCTGGCGCAGGCGTCATGACCCAGACGTCTGGAAACTCCCAGGTCCGCCCACGAGACAAGGGACACATGTGATCACAGGCGTTGTGAGGCATTGTGGGTTCTGTTGCCAGAACTCAAGGCCAAGGTTTGGTTGCTGATCTCAGGGCACGGAGTTGCATTAAAAATTGTACGATGAAGAATGCCCTCAATATCCATGCCACAGCGCCAGCTCTGTAACACCAGAACCGACCGGTGAAGGACGAAGGCTGGAGCCAGATGTCAGTTCGGGGGAGTTGTCCGCACTGTGGCCATGTCTGGAGCCCAGAACAGTCTGCCTCAAGGAGGAAAGTTTAGACCGCCTCAGCCCAGAAAGCTCCAAAGGGGAAACCCATCCTTTCGTATCAGATCCGTTCACAAACACAAACCTTATAGATTCGGCTTTTTGAGGAGCATTCTGCGCTTGTGCACCATGCATGACGTGGGCCACAAAATGGTAGGGATGGACATGTTACGTACAACATCCTTGTACAAGGAGAAGTAACAGTCGCAATGTTATTCCCCACTCCGCTTGATTTTCCAGAAAAGGCCTACATCGCTTGAAAGGGTGCGTTGTCGTGTTCAGTGTTCTAGCCATTGTAGGAAGAGATTGATTGAGGAGAATCTTGAGAGTAAATCATCGCAGGGATTTGGGGCACCCCCGGTTTCCAAATAGATTTCGGACACGGAAAAGCAGCATGGAGGCTATCACGGGAAACAAGGCCAATGTGATATGCATCTGGCTCATAAGCGTGTAAGCTACAAGGCCGGATCAAACTGGTCCTTGTTTCGGGAAGTGACTCCGACCTGCATATATACCAATATGAGGGGGCAACCTTGTGATACTGAATTTCATGGTCTTGGTTCAGTTTACTTACAATAGTACCAACTTCAGGTCTGGCTTGATGGACGTGACTGATGGCATGCGAGCAGAGAAGTTCGCATTCATTTCTGTGAAGAGGAAATTCGCCCCAAGAGCCTACCTTCTTGATGGACCTCAGGCAAGGTCTCCGTCGCATCAGGCCATTAGGTCTGGGGGCCAACGTGCACATACATCTGTCGGCCAGCGCACTCAGAATTGCTGGCCCAAAGCTGATGAATCTAGCAAGGCGTGGCAGGCATGTAATGTGCAAAGGCGGGTCGCCCTCGTGAACTGCTAGCAAAAATGAACATGTGCATGGCTGGCTGAGGGCAGAATTGACTTTATTTCGACTGGAGAGTCTTGAAAGTGTTTGCGCATTGATCTAAGACTTCTTGCAGGAGAAGTTATGCGGACGGACTTCCAGGATAGGGGATGTGTTTCGCGCAGACATCATCAAGATACTGACAACTGAGAAGACGCTATTCAAACGCCCACAGATGGGGATTTTTGGATCTTCTGAATGTGCTTTTTCGAGACGCAAATTTAAATTCAAAGAATTCAGGATTGAGACTTCGGCGCACCAGCAAAAGTAATATTTCGATTTAGCTCTTGGAAATGTAGGAACCCCTTCAGATGTGCCATCTATATATGAGCCATTATGATTCTTATCTAAAATATATTGAATTGCCCAAAATTTTAGTTTCTAGAAATCTATTTAACTATATTCAAAAATATATCAGCTAATATAATTCTCATAATTCTCAACGAAAATATATTTTGAATTCAATCCTTGAGATTATATCTAAAAAAGTCATATATATATATATATAAAATCTCAAATATCCGAATATGACGGCGCGGCTACTTCCGGCTATTTCGATCGCGCGCGGCTTAGCTTTTCCGGCTCGCCTTTAAAGTACCTCTTACGGGCTGCTTGGGGGCTAGAATCTTGGAGGTTTTTATCCTTCAGAAAAGCTAGAGGCTCTAAAATCTCCGAATTTTTGGGTGCCCCGGCTAACGCGATAAAAAATCTCGGGAGATTTTGGATTGTGCGGTCTTTCGCCCCTACGAGAATTTCTGGGATATTTATCTTTCTCTCTCTTAAGGAATTTACGTGGTTGCTTGGGAGAATATATGTTTCTACTTGTAATTCTTTCGTTTGTGCGACTTAGTTTTATTGGTTTGCATTTATAATGGCCCTCGGGAATTTATTAGAGAATTTAAAAATTTCGAAGATTTCAGAAATCTTTGGAAATTTTCAAGACTCTAAAATTTATGAGATTTGAGATATGGGGAGGACGATAAAAAAATTCAGAGACTTTTGGTAGTGGGATTTTTATTTCTTTAGTGGTTTTTCTATATGATTTATTTTTCATTCTGCTATTATAATAACGAGATAAGTCTAATTCTTAATTAAAATGAATTTCTATATATTCTCGATATTTTTGAAGAGCAAATATCTCAATATGATGGGGCGATTAATTGCGGTTATTTTGTCGCGTGCGATGCAGCCTTTCCGACTCGCTTCTCAAACGCTTTTTATGGGGTCCTTAGGATTATTAAATCTCGGAGATTTTTATTCTTCAGTAAAACTAGAGATTCTAAAATCTCCGAATTTTTTGGTACCCCGGGCGCGCGACTAAAAATTTCTGAGATTTTTGGTCGCGCGGTTTTTCGTCTCGGAGCGGCTTGCTCAGCGGAGCGCATAGATGCGGGACCGAGACCTAAGATATTTTAATATTTTCTAGATTGATCGTAGTTGCCTACGGGGGCTGACATATTTCCCCGAGCCGCCGCGCAGATGGTCTAAGAAAGATAGATGAAGGAGAAAGATTGATCTGGATGGAGGTCGCATATCCCGAAAGTTCCCGAGATTTCGAATGCGGCTCCGTGTAGAGCCGGGGCGGAGATCTAAAATCTTTCAATATCTATTAAGTTATTCGTTTTTGGTCATATGCGGCGCGGTCTCCCAAAGAAAATAGGATTCTTTGCCTCTGGGATTATTTTTTGATTAATTCTGATCTCGTATCTTCCTCGACTCCGCTTTGCGATTGCCGATAGCCAGGACGATCCCTAGCGCAGGTCGCAATCGATGGATGGAACGTATAAGAGAATTTGAGTCTAGAACGGAAGTCTCTCCGAGTTGAATTTCACTTGAGGTCGATGTTGGCCCCTTTTGTGTCTGCGGGATTTTGGATCCCTGGGCGTTCGGCGGGTGGCGTCGGATTTTAATGCATGGCCTGGGATTCTGAAATCGTGCGCGTCTCTTTTTTCTTATTTTCTCTATCGATCTCTTTGAATATATAATCACGAGGAAATTTGGAATTCCCTTTTTTCTCCTACCTAGGTCTCGCATCACGCAGGAGATCTCAGAATCGTTGATAGATTTCTCTTGAATATTTGATTATAAAAAATCATAGATCGATTATTCGTCGAGATTCACGTGCGATCTTTATATTCCGCGTGATTTATCTATGTTCGATTATCGTTATGGATATTCGGAGGAGCGTGGCTGGCCGATATAGCGCGTAGACCCGAGACGGAAGATCTATATCTTTCAGATTTTATAGTTTGGCCTTGTCTATCTACGCGGATTTATGCGC